CCCCCGCCACTCATTGCGCTTTCGTTGGATTCGCCTTCTTGCTAAACGGAGAAGCAAGCTGCGCTCTGAGACACTGACTACTTGTTCTTATCGGGAAGTTCCCCTATGTCTGCAAAGACGTAAGGCAATAKACTCACCTATCGCAAAAGAAACTGTTTTTAATGTATTGCCTTCTCCACAGGATGCATTTTCACTTCTTAATATCATAAATTATCGAAAATTATAATCGTGATTATCAGCGTTGTGTAACGTAACGTAATACAATGGGATGCCCCGCTATTCTCTCAAAGTAGGAGCCTCTCAGCCTCTGGCCTGGGCCGCCTGGCTTACAGCCGTAACACGATAAAAAACCGCTACAGCCATCACCTAATACCATCGGCCGTTAAGCTATTGCACTTCAGTCTGAGACACGCCCGTTATCGTCCGTTATCTTTATGAGGTTATATATGCAAAGGGGCCGGTGATCCATGACACTAAAGCGAAACACTGCCAAACGGGGGAGATCCGTCTGTCACCCTTACCTTTACACTGGGGTTGGACGTTTTATGATACTAAAGTGAACCACCGTAAACGGAACACCTAACGGCCAATACCAGTCCGTCGCTGTTACGTTTACAGAGACTGTTAGCGGGTGGATGGTTCAAGGCACTAGAACCAACCATTCTCGACTGATTAGCTAACGGCACACCGAGTCACAGTTACGTTTACGCACTGTCAGCGGGTGGCTGATTAAAACGGAACAGCTAGCGGCCAACCGGCGAAAACCCATCCGTTACCGTTAGGTTTACAGACAATCAGCTGTGGCTGATTCATGGCACTAGACACGACCACCACTCTCATCTGATTAGCTAACGGCTCACCGTTGCGTTTACGTACTGTCAGTGGGTGGCTGATTTATGACAGTAGAACACCAACCATTCTCCACTGATTCGCTAACGGCTGACGGGCGTGGATTGCCTGAATCATTCCACAATTATCCCGGCCGTCTTTAGAATGTACTCCATCTTCGTGGCTACCAYCTGGCTGCTAAGTCTWACTTTMTCTTCGCAAACACAATCAGCAACAAGAAGGAACACCGCTCTCGCCGTTGTCTTCATCGGTTCAGTATGGATTTGCTCTTTAATGGCAGGATCGAAGATCTTGTCGAGATCGACGGTGTCCGCCTTGCGCAGGTTGTCCATCTGCTCGTTGATTAGGATTACGTATTCGCCAAGTTTCTCGTCTTTAACTGCGGCCTTTTTGCCAGTCAGGAGCTCCAATAGCAGAACGCCAAAAGAGTAGACGTCATTCTTCGGTCTCGGCCTTCCCCCTTCACCGTACTCGGGGGCAATGTAGCCAAGCGTTCCCCAACCCGTCCTTCGTGTGGATGTATTGCCGGCTGTTTGTAGAATGTCCTCCAGCACATGGGCCAGACCGAAATCCGCTAGGTATGCCTTCAACTGCGTACCTTCTCCTTCTCCCAATAACACATTTGCACTCTTCACATCGCGATGGATAACTCTGGGGAGGATTTCGGAATGAAGGTAGCGGAGAGCCTTGGCAATCTGAAACGCCACCACCAAACGCTCGACCAGGGTAAGGGGAGCGGAGGGACGTGTGAGGTGTACCAACTCCGCTTCGGCTACTAGTGACGCTCCTGGCTCTTCGGCACCTTCTCCCCCTGCTTCTCTCGGTGGCACTTCTCTCGGTATTGCCCCTCCTGGCTCTTCTCTTTCCAGACGTTCATGCTGTCCATGGAGTCGATCGTACAAGCTCCCGCCCGCCATGTAAGGGTAAACCAACATCAACGCATTCTCATCTTGACAGTAGCCAATCAATCCACACACATTGCCGTGATGTATCCGGCTGAGCGTCTCCAACTCTGCGTGGAAGAAGTCTTCGTTGATTTTTGGCAGTGCGTCGGGCATGACCTTGACAGCGATCGGCCTTGCCGGTGAATTCTTACCCCGCAGTAAACCAAAGTAGACGGTGCCCCCCCCCCCCTTCCCAATCCGTCGAGACGGGTGGAAACTCTTCGTCGCTGCCCTTAAGGTCTTCAAATCAAAGACTTCGACGCCGTGGACTAGTACAGAACGTTCTGGCCCTCGGCGGCGCTGCTGTGCTCTACGGCATAGCAGAGCGACTATCACGATTAACAGAAGCGGCAGAGAAACACCGAAGAATACACCGACACCCAGCACGATGTTGTTCCCGCCTTCTCCGCCTCTGCGCAACGATTTCCCCCACGATTGCGAGGAAGTGTCGTTGGCAGGGTTAGGAGGAGAGATGGAGGAATTGGGATGAGCAGCGTTGGGGTAGGGTGACGAGTCGCTACGTGGGGCCGCATAAGGCTGCAGAGCTGATCTGTTGATGGTGAGCTGGAACACTTCCCCGTCGTCTGTGCCTAGCAGCAAGACGAGCTCTCCGCTGAAGTTTCCCATGGCCAAAGAACCCACGCCATATCCATAGCGTTTAGTGTACCGCGTGACGTTCGTGACTCTAATCCCGACTCCACATGGAGAGTCGAGCTCTATCCGCTTCACAAAACCTGTGTCTCTCTCGCAGACGACGATGTTCATTCCATCCTCGGTGACGACTAGATCGTTTAACTCTCCGAAAGATACGTTTAAAGCGTTGGACATCACTATCTTACCCCCACTGCTGCTACCGTTTCCACTGGTGTTAGCACTTGTACTTGTTATTTGCGGCGAGTAGGCGGGGGTGAATCCACGTCCAGCGACAAGATGGACCACATTCGACGAACGGTCGAGTGCCCAAACGCTGCCGCCGGGATTGCGATCGACGAAGTGCAAGCACCTGCCATCGCGGGGGAAACTATAGGGACCGAAATATATCGATGACGTGTCCCATTCGTGAAATTGATCGAAGCAGAAGAGAGGGGAGGGAGTGGAGAGTTCCTGGCTGGGAATGTCGCCGTTGGGAGCGAGGGTAATCGGAGAAGACAAGATCCGAAGAGGAGGGACCCCCCCCGTCGCGACGAACAGAGTGGTCATGTCGGGATCGATAGCCATCCCGGTGGCGAAATCCACCTGCACCGAGACAGAACTCCTCTCCCTCGTCTCGGCATTGAGCGTGGTCAGCCAAGATCCCCGCGGAATTGCAGAATGGTATCCCGACAAGATCAGCTCCAATCCAGACTTCGACAGAGCCATCCCCGTTGCGACATGCATGTACGACGTGCAGTTATCGTCTTGGCACGTGAAGTGAGTCAGTCGGGCTCCCGTTGCCTCGCGCGCCGGCCACCAGTCGCTTATCAACCGACCTTCCACAGCTTCCGTATTCAACAATGATTCATAGACTGACATACGACGCCTGCTTGGCGTTGTCATCTGTCCGTCCGTCCAGCAGATCTGATCGAGAAGGAAGCAGAACTTGGGACCACCACCGGGCTGGAACACGATGTTGCGTACCATGGGTTTGCACACCATACCCGTGTCGTTGGAACCGGGGACGAACGGGGCGTCCTTCTCATACGCAAGGATGGCTTTGCAGGAGCCAACCACGAGAGACTCGTCGAGGACAATTAAACCAGGGCAACTGCCGGATGTTAGCAGCACCCTTTGGTCTTCTGGAAGACGATGGGGAGGAATTGCGCCTGCGMGCGAGCGGACGTATCGCGCCGACGACTGCGCCAAAGCTGATCCGGTCCCGACCGGTCGTCCGCCGCCGATGAGGAAGAATGAAAGCAACACCACTATGACAGTCACTCCACCTGTGAGGGTGAGTCGGGACGGGCAACAGAAGTGAGCATTGAGGACCCTGAGGTTACACATACCAGGTACGCCACTCGCATCTCTCCTCTTATCGTCGCAGAAGAGTTCCGCCATCTCTTCCTACGTGTCAAACTACCGTACACAACGGAGCGTGCGGTACCCTGGCTTCGTCATACGGTTTCCCTACCCTAATGTTGTAAATTACGGCTGTGTGTGTGTGTGTGTGCGTGTGTGTGTGTGTGTGCGCGTGTGTGTGTGGGTTGCCCACCGTACACAACGTTTGTCTACGCAAACATCAGGATGTTAAGTCAGGCAGACAAGTTTTTAACTAACAAGGCTCGCCCATCAACTTACTATGGAAATCTCTCTCTCTCTCTCTCTCTCTCTCTCTCTCTCTCTCTCTCTCTCTCTCTCTCTCTCTCTCTCTCTCTCTCTGTGGCTCGCTCTCTATTTATCTATCTATCTATCTATCGGTGTGTGTGTGTGTGTGTGAGCGCACGCGCCCTATATATATAGATTTCTCTCCGGCGCCTGCACAGGGACTGGGGGTGATCCGATAAAGGGTTTGAGATAAAAGACGAGACGGAACGCTAATACAAAATTGGTAGAGCTCTACCTACCTATTACACTCCACTTGTCCGTGTATGCCTAAGCTCCTATAGGGGGAGTTAGTCAGTTGGCGCGCCTCAGTCCTCTCTGCTACTTCATCTCTCTCTCTCTCTCTCTCTCTCTCTCTCTCTCTCTCTCTCTCTCTCTCTCTCTCTCTCTCCACTTGTCCGTGTATG